ATACATTGAATTGGCTTGTCACTGATGCTTAAATGTAACAGATGTGCTTGGAAGATGTTTGTAAAACGTTTTACCCTTGCGGCATCCACGCAACTCGAGCATTAAACCTGCAGTATCACTACATTTCCGGTTTGGCAGTGCAGAATGTATGTGATGGGATGGGAATGGAGGTTTTACTCACGTATAAAGCTACCTACTTTTTTCTATTGAAATAAAATGTGGAATTGAGTGATAGGGTGTGTCGTCTGTAGTGGAGATGAACACTAAATATACAATAATAATGACATGCACACAACACACCCCAAACTTTTTTTTTTCCCTCCCTGTATAAACCTCATGGCATACTTGGGAGCAGAACACCGTCAACAAGTCGCACACGATCGACTAGTGGGGCACTTCTGATCTAGATTTGAAGAAAGAATGGTTCTAACTTTCAAAAAGTACGAAAATGAATAGATGTTTTGGTTTTCTGTATCACTGAAGTAATTTGGCTACATGATTCTGTGCGCACACATAATTGACTAAATCAACTTCTGGCCTTGACCCATCACTTCCACTTGTTGTCTTGATGGATTCAAGACTACTTCACAATGCTTAGCTCAGACAGGTCAATTAGCGTCCTTAACCCCACATCGGGTCTCTGTAATTTACAATATAACACATTCCTATTCTCAGGGACGTGCACACAACCGTAAGTGTCCCCTAGGAGTGAAGTCAGACCCCTCAGTTGATTCTGATAAGTGGTGAGAGGTGAAACAAATTGAAGGGAGTTGGATTAGTACTACATTACTTTTACATTACATTATAGCGAAAGAGTATTAGGGAAAATATCCAACAAGATGGTTATAGTACATAGCGTTTTTTTTTTTTTTTTAATTTCAGTGTGTCTAAAAAAAGGAATCCATCCAACCATTTTCAACACCGCTACACCTAAAAAGGGTTGCGGGAGGGTGCTGGAGCCTATCCCAGCTGACTTTGGGGGGGAAAGGCAGACGACACCCAGAAGTGGTCACCAGTCAGTCGCAGGGTACCTCTAGAGACGAACAACCATTCACACACACATTCACACCGTCACTGAGGGGGAACTGACCCGAGCCATAATTATCCATTCAATTACATTTAAAATGAATGTAAATATTTTGTAAAAATCAATATAAGAATTTTCAAGTGTAAACTATAAATCTGTATTATTATTATTATTATTATTATTATTATTATTATTATTGTTGTTGTTATTATTATATTTTAATGGTTAATTAATCATTATGGAAACTATGTTTGATTGATTTGTTCCATGTACAGTTTTTTACATGTGGATTATAAATTCACTTACAATAATTTGCGGATTATGAAATGCACCTGATTAAAAGTCAACACAGCTACATTTTGTTAAAAAAAATACATTTTTACATACATTAGGGACTTGGAAATTGCCGCGTTCGACAGTGATTGTTTTCTCTGGTAGCAGCGGTACGTGAGGACGGAGATCATACTGGCAGTTGCTGCAAACTTTGGCGTTTTGTTGGCTTCGTAGGTTGAATTTCTCCTTGATTCCTAAATACGACGTAATTGAATGATTTCCATTGAACATTTGGAAGAGTCATCAATTTGCACTTCTGCTTCTAATGAGCTGCGTTTGAAATGTTTCCTTTCGTTTGGACCCTTCAAAAACATTGATCGATCGATCAGGAGGCATTGATAAGTAAATGGACCATGAGACTATCTTCTTTTTTAATGTATCGTGAAGTTTTATTGCAGTCTGAAGAATATGAGGCATTTTTTTAAGCTACGGGTGACGGACATGCCGATCGATGAACCACACGGCAGACGCAGAAAACAGAAAAATCGGTTAAAATTTATGCAAAAATAAACTGCATGAAATGATTCCATTGCAGAAATTGGATATGGCTAAATTAATCATTTTCAGACTGATAATTATCGTTCCAATATTTGGGGGGAAAAAGACGACGTTGAGAACCACATAGAAGACACTAACAAAAACTCATCGACTCTAAAAACAATATTTATCATGAATATTGAAACTTTGATGAAAAAAAAAATCACAAGTGCACGGTCCCATTCACTTAAATGAGAGCCTTATCTGAGCCTTCCTTGGCGGTCACCCGACAGCCTTGTCACCATCTCGGGGCAGCCTGCTTCTCTGGGGGCCATCGGAGAATAATGACGACCGATGCCTTTCTTTAACTGTACTTTTACTGTCGTTTCTGGACACTATATTCATGTGGATTCATTGAGATTGCATTACAGTACAAATTGAGGCGTTCCAGTGACTTTTCACTGCACATTCAACACGGTTGATTTTTTTTCCATATTGTACGTCACTATTATTTATGTTTGTTGGTTGATAAATTCCTCATCTGTTAGGCCTATGATCATTGATATATTCCACCTTCTCACATTCAGTATGCTGCAGTGACGTGACTGTAAATGTGTCATCTGATTGGACGAGGAGTTGTGGCTTTGTACAAGGTAAACAAGGACCCTTATGTGGTTCGTTGCCAGCGATGGTGCGAGTCGGTCAGCAAATAAACAACATAGAGACTGGGGTCGCACTTCGGAGATGTCTGTATTTATGGCACTCATTCCCTATGCACATTAAATGCAACTCAAAATGCTTATTTTCACTCAACTCCTGAAACAACCGCGCACCTCTACACATACAAACTTCCACATTATTCCCTTCAGGCAGCCTACTCCGGCCTCATGCGTGGGCATTCTACCCGCAAATCACAGATAAATATTCAGTAAATTCAGCGGACTCTGATAATTATATTGGTCCACTGTGCCGCGTTCTGTAATTTCATTGGTCAAATGTGATCAGATTATGGGTAAATATGTTCGCATCTTGAGCCTCGTCAGTTAAAAAAAAATCATCAATAAACTATCTTACATTAAAAGACACAACGTTCAAAGAGTGGGGGGGAAAAAAGGAGTGGTGTTTGGTTTTGCCCCTGAAGCAAAAAATGACAACGCATGACAGAAACTATACTGGTGAACAAGCTAACCAAACGCAAACTACTCTGTTGGGCCTCATCCACATCAATACCCTAAAACAGTCTTCAACAACTGGCACCTCGTTTCCGCAGTGATCCTGAAATGAAACCAAAACCCCTCAATGTTGGCAGATTACGAATGATTTAGGCTGAGATTTCAGTGTTGACCCCTTTTTCTGCTTTGGGTTTTCCCATAGCAAAAAAAGGAGCATACTATGTGAAATTCTAAATTATTTCCAACCATCAGAATGTTTTCTATATCCTTTCAGAAGTTATGTTTCATTCAGTCTTCTCATTTTTACTTTGCATACCGCCGAGTTTGTAGTACAGTATACATATAACGTTGGTTTATGTGCCTTGTGAGTTTACAGAGGCAAAGCCTTTGACTGACAATGCGCTGTTGTTATTGTAGCAGTTACCACTGTTGGCTCTGGACCTCCTGCAGAGCCACTCTCGGTACTGATGGAAACCACATTGTGGGCTCCATTAGGTTCAACAAAGACTTCAAAGCCACTTTAACGTGCTACCCCTGAGATCTACTGTATGTAATTACACACACATACTGGACTAGCAGGCAAAATCCCAAATTTTGTTTTGTTACCTTCACCAACATTGGTCAGTGTATATCCCAACAAGGGTGCCAGAAGCGCTCCAGTAAGATTCAGAGTCTCCGTGTGAGTCGTCATGAATGCTAGTTGTACACTTAACCACAAGCCAAAAATTAATGTGTGTTTACAGTCCAATGTGAAAGGGTTTATTAGTTACAAATGAGATCCTGGTCCAGGTTTATTTTGATTGCTGCTTATCAGACTTCAGCAGACCCTGATGATTCATTATTCCCGTATCACACACAAACACAGACACGCACGCACACACGCAAGACTGATCACTATCAGCTTTCGGATGGCTCATGCAGACAGGTCGAGCAGCGAGTTAGTCAAGTAAAAAGGTCCTGGTTTGTTATTTCAATGAGGCCCACCATAGATTCATGCCCATGCTCAAGCAATCACAGTAACCATTTCCCAGCAGTTTTATGAACCACCTTTTTATTAAAAGAGTCACTTTTTTCACAGTTGAAAACAGTTGGCTGGTGCTTTAATAACGTGTCTGTGGCACCCTTTTTTTCACAATGGGTGCTTGCTTTTACTCGCAGAATTGTGGAACTGTGGAAAACAAATGAGTGCTCTTAGATCAAAGACAATGAACGCACGTTGACTCAAGGATGCAACAGTCACTCCTGTGTATGTGATGCATAGATACGTCGCCAAACACTCACAGCTGTATTGCCTCGTATGAACCAAGTTCAAGTTAAAGTTCAAGTACAACTTTATTGTCAAATGTGCTTGATGTGCAACATACTGCACAGATGAAATGTTTTTCCTCTCAACCAAAGGGGAGAGAGGAGCCGCTGCGGGTGCCCGCGCTGCCATCAACAGAACAGTTAACATAAAATGACAAAATAATACAACACAACACAAAAGTCACAGACAGTCGTGCAATCTTAACCATTTTTTCTGCATACACTTTGTTGTTTGAGGCAGTTCTAGATGAAAGAGGAGAGAATCAGTGTCCTTTCACCAGTGGATCAAAGACATGCTGAAAATGTGCACACGTCTGCTACAAGCTAAGTTTGAAAGCATAAAAGAAGCTGTAGCATCCATTGACAAAAAAGAGATTGGCTCACATCTCCTGTCTCATGTAAGTCTGTTTCAATTCCAAGCGGCAACTCCCAGTTCCACATACGCATCTGCACTCTGCGCTGACGCTCCTTTCTTCTCATCGTCGGCTCCACCCGCCATCCATCCATCCAGCCGCAGACTGTCCAACAGCATCGAAATTTCCGCTCCAAAAAACGGGCTGTGAAAAATGCTGCCCAATACAGGCGCAAAAACACAAGCGCCCCGGGGCTGTCCAGCACCGACAGTCAAATGGCGCCGACATTCCTCCCAATCAAAATCAGTGCTGGTACACGCGTGCTGCCGAGAAGGCGCAACCACCAAGCACAGATTCTTCTCCTCTGACGAATGTCATGGCCAAAAGATGGTGAAAACAATCCGCATTAGGTCCACACGAGGTAACAGCACCACGTGACAAAATAAAACGCAAAAAGAACAAAAAAAAACAACAAAAAAAGCAAGGCTCCTGAAGAGCACTTGCCGACGGCTGCCTACTCGGGCGCCACCTTTGAAGAGAGATTAGAGAACACTGTTATCTAACACTAATCTGTGATCCCATGTTACTCAATGCATCTCTGTCCACTGTCGCAATCGCTGTCCCTGAAAGGGTTAGAATTATTATCACAATGCTGCAAACACAGTCACCGATGGCTAATCTATCGTACCACAGAAACACTGCTTACCTTTTGGCTTACCTTTTGACATAATTATGCTTCAGCAGCCCAGGAAAGGTGGTTCAATTGCTCTGTAACTTCGGCCGGCCAAGCTCCCAAGTCATTGGCTGAGCAATTTGTTGTGGAGGATGTTATTATGTTTATTAGCCCCAGCTGTTTTAGAACAGAAAGGCAAAATGGCACGATCACAGACGCATTTTCAGAAATAGACAAATAAGATTAACTTAATTGTGTAATTTCACACCTGATGGGTTAGCAGGTCCTCCAGAGAGAGACCCAACTCTTTGCATCATCCTTGACACTCAGCATTTTCTAACAGGTCATTGAAATACAGAGTTAGTGTGAACCGCATGACATGTCAAACCACAAATACCCCCTTATCCCCACATTAACAAGAGAACATTATTAAAATTATTTTCATCACCAGCTCAAACCTCACGCCATGTGTGGTCTAAATGGGCTTGCCACAGTTTAAAATGGGTGTTTTGCGCCGTTGTGGGCGAAACACAGTCAACTTGATTCACCATCAATACAACTGACTCGTCACATTCCTTGGCGCATGAGAGGTGCACAGGCCAAATGTGGTCGAAGAAATATAAGTGAATTGCTTGAGTCCATGCAGCAACTGTGAGTGCACCTCCACAGCTGTATGATGTTAAGTTGGTAAGGCAAATCTGTGAAGTGGGCACTAAGACTGCCTGCCACCCGATTGCATGAGTCCGCGTGTGTCTACGAATATAGATTCCTTTGGATACCAAAAATAAAAAGTCGTTTTTCACAATATGCCCCCATATGCCTTTTATGATGAGCTGCCTTATCAACCCCACAGCAACTGAACAAATGCAGTAAGTAGAAACCTCCTAAAATAAAACCAATAACAGTGTAAACATTGCTTAACAGGGCCAACACATGGCAGGTCATCCAACAGGGTATTAACAATTACTGTATTGTATCTCCAACTGTCATGACAGGAAACCATCAGTAATGTTTGACTTTTCTTGAATTTGAGTCTGCATACCTCATGGTTTGGATGTTTACATATGATCATAACGTATGTGGTGGCCATTGTTGTAAATCTTTTTTTGTCTTTTCCCTAATCTCTGAAAACATGCACAGTTGACCCCTTGCATAAGGAACACCAAGTCAAAGCAATTGGAAGCCATTTATCTCATTGTTGTACTACCAAAGGGAGCCGAGATGCAAAAAAATTACGCCTCCTTCCCCCAAAACACCGGGCCGTGCACTTATAATGTGAGGTGGAAGATTAACCCCCTGAGTCTTGACTACTGTTGGTTGATCTTTGGTTCACATTGTGGACTGTAAATACAAGAACCCATATGCATGGCATGTGTTCCATCAGTACATAATCAGTCTCTTAAAAGATGTGAGTTCATTTCAGTTGAACTTAGTTACTAATAGAGCAACGTTTGGAAAATGGGATTAAATCATGATCTGTCAGTGTGTGGCAGTTCATACAAAAAACAAAACAAAAAACAAAGGACTTCCTGCTCCCCCCTCCCTCCTTCGAATATAGAAGCAGTTTGAGAATTATTAACCAGTGAATCATCCATATGGTGTTAGATCTCCGACTGGATCTGGTTTGCAAGAGTTTTGACGCATGTGATTTAAGGTGTGGCAGCGTCATATACTTGCACTCTGATATGACCCAGCTGTTTGACCGAGCCGGGACGTCCCTCATCAGATGCTTGTAGCGTGTCAGATTTTTTTTTTTTAAGTGCCTCTAATGACTCATCCTTACTATAGCTCCACCCTGGCCAATGACAGCATCAGTGCAAACATTTGACCTCAAGTGGGGGAGAGAGAGAGAGAGAGAGAGAGAGAGAGAGAGAGAGAGAGAGAGAGAGAGAGAGAGAGAGAGAGACACCCTTACAGAAACAAATAGATGGGAATCCTTATTCTGGTTGTAGCTGTTAAATGGACTAACATGTTAAAACATTACACCATTCAATGTAAATGATGTTTTTGAGAATTGACGATTAAACAAAAGCAGTTGCATGAAGCCAATTCAATTTTGGGTTAGACAAACAAGAAGGAAAGGGGATTTGTTCCGATGTATAAATGTAAAGAAAATCTGCATTTTCATGTGTATTTGCATATGTACCATGCCTCTAGTCTACATAATTACATTTGATGGAAATCAGTGGAGTTGTACAGTGTTCCAATGCATATTCATAGTTCACTACTCGCAAATTCACCCATTTGCACATATTTTTGGAACCTACCCTCCATTTTGGCTGAAAATGTATATCTTGTTTTTGTGCTTTGGCCGAATCCCTGTTTAAAAAAAAAATGCTTTTTGTGGCGTCTTAGTGCCAAGGAACTATGTTGAAAGACCTTCAATGAGAAATTCCTGCACTTAATCCGCTAATCCAATTAATAGCACAGATATATTTCCGTATTTGCTGTATTAATCATCAAAGCACTTAATCCGCTAATCCAATTAATAGCACAGATATTAATCCAATGCGACAGAATGTTCCTGTCTGTTTGTTTTGCAGCTTTCAATGCATTGTTGGGCAACTTCTCCTGCGTCACACCTGCTGTAAATTGCAATAGACGTGGTTTAGAAATGCAACAGTGGCAGAAAGGAGCCACTGAATCATTATCTTGCACACTGTCATTCTCACTGGCTGAAATACATATTTTTTTTAATGTATTCTGGATATCCATTATTTCTTGTTACCCGGGTTGTCGCACTTGTGTTTTCAAGGAAGTGTTTCTGTTTATTTTGTGTATTAATTCTTTTTTTGTCTGTAGAATCAATTCTGTCGTTAGATAGTTAAGTAAGAGTTATTCCTCACTGGTGTCTCCTTTCCCCATCGTTCTGTCCACAAACTTCAGTCGTGGTGATTAAGATTTTTAGTACCAGTAGCTTTTTTTTTTTTTTTTATGTTTCCTCTTTATTTTATTACTTGTGTAGTTTGCATTTTATACTCTTCGTGTGTAAATGAAGCAATTACATTTTTGCCATATCAAAATCTTGGTTGCTTTCGGATCCCTGAGTCTGTTATCACTGAGCCTTGATGGAAGTAGATGCAGTCAGAGGTGGTCAGCCTCAAAACATGGCCTGTTACTGTTAATACAGTCGATGAAGGAGGTCGGTGGCCCAGCCCTGTTAGCGTGTGCTTCAAATGACCTTTGTCAGACTGAACAGCAGACATCATCGTGTTGTGACAGGAGTCCTTGACTGAAGATTGAGGCTAAGTCTACTCTGTTATTTTACTGAGTGGCCAAGGTGCGAAAGTATGTGCGTGCCTAGCGAATGTAATTTACTTTAAAAGGTTATTTGTTATACAAGGTGCGAAAGTATGTGCGTGCCTAGCGAATGTACCGGTAATTTACTTTAAAAGGTTATTTGTTATTGGCACAGCATGAGCCACCCTGACACTTCACATTGTTCGAAGCTGATGCACGTGTTTAGAGGGACTTTGAACATTTAGGATGTGGGTATCCTTGTTGGGCTTGTGTTTTGCCTGAAGTGTTGTCACCATGAGTCAACTGAAGGGTGGTGCTTTCAGAGCCGAAGAAGCCCCAAAAAAGCCCTTTGATGTGGAAGAAATGCACACACATTCACACACGTGATTTTTTTTGTACAGACCATTTTGAAAGACTGACATCCCTGCGCTCGGCGTTAAAACCAGTGTAACATCACCATCTTGCGTCCATTTGGGCGTTTTGGCGCACCGAGTAGCCTCGCCCCCGAGTCATCCAAAAATTTGATGACAAAAGGACTCTACGCTCAGTGTAAAATTGTGTGCTTCATCATTTTCGTGGCAATGGCAATGTTCTAATTCAGAGTTTGTGAATTTGGTAGACACTCACTGAGCGTTTCTGACTCACCCCCTGGCGCATCTGCAAATGGGGTCACAAAAAGTAGACCACATTTTAGACTTCTCAAAAGCAGGTATATATTGCAGCACTGGTGGTCTAATCTGGTGTATTCAATCGAAGCACAGGATGACAGATTCGGTGCTCTCACGATGTCTGTGGTGCACCGGATTTAATTCATGAATATGACACCATGTAGGACATTCACTCTGAATCAATTTAGAAACCAATTCACCCAATGAATGAGAATAAATTCATTCATTCATTCATTTTCCGAACCGCTTCGTCCTCACTAGGGTCGCGGGGGATGCTGGAGCTTATCCCAGCTGTCTTCGGGCACTAGGCGGGCGACTCCCTGAACCGGTTGTCAGACAATCGCAGGGCACACAGAAACGAACAACCATGTGGGAGGAAGCCGGAGGACCCGGAGAAAACCCACGCAAGCACGGGGAGAACATGCAAACTCCACAAAGGAAGGCCAGAGCTGGAATTGAACCTGTTACCTCTGCAGTGTGAAGTCGACGTGCTAACCACTCGACTCTCGGGCCACCCCTATAATAAATACCATATTCAAAATATCTTCATAGAACCCCCATCACTAGTTACAGTTGTGTGTGTGTGTGTGTGTGTGTGTGTGTGTGTGAGTGTGTGTGTGTGCGTGTGTGTGTGTGTGTGTGTGTGTGTGCGTGTGTTTGAGTGGCATCGTGGGAAAAGTCTACTTCCAACCCACAACAGCGCCCAAAGGCCTGTTATGACCAATTATACTGGTGCAAAGGTCGAACCCACAAAGAATGAATTGTGGCCGCCAATTGCACTTCATTTGCACCTGCAGTTTGCTCCATCTTAACATCGCCTTCACAAAGGATATTGCTCGAATCACATATAATAATATCAGCGAATATCAGCGCAAACACACCCAGTTTTCCCCCTTATTGCACACATGGCAAAGTATAAATGCAGCTTTGTGCCAAGAAAACCGTGACGGGCAGAACAATGGCAGTTAGGAAGAGACTCTTTCACAAATAAGTCAAAATACACCTGTTTAAAACAGCCTACTCAGCCAAATGTCATTTTGTTCTGCCTCTTTCTGTTATTTTTTCATTTTTATTTCTTTTGGAAATTTGGACATCGTGCCAACATTATATTGGACCGGCCTGTGGGCCAAACAGCTGTCTTTTATGGCCTGAAATAATTTTGTCAAGAAGGTGGGAGAGAATTGTGGGGGCCGGGTACGTAGTTTCGCATACGTTTTGTACATTGCTCAGATGTCGCTGGACGTAATGTGTCTACTGTAAAAAGAGGACTTGACAGTGGAGTGCCATGTTTACGCTAACGTTTTATGGGCATTATTTGCGTCACTCAAATCTGCGTGTGGCTATTCATGCTGGCGCTTGTGAATTAATTTTTAAATAAGGCTCATTTGCATCGAGATAGGCAAAATATGTATATTAGGCGTAGAAAAAAAGTAGTGTGTTTCCGGTAACCCGACCGACCGAGAATTTCTACGTCGAAAAAAAACTATACGGTCGGCATTTTTTTCAAACAACCCTCTACATTTTTGTGTAGAGGGTTTACATCGGTGCAAACTCTTGCGATA